TCTGAAAACCAAAATCCTTTAAAAAATATAATAAAGTATTTTTTTAGTCTTGTTTTCGATTTTGTATGTTTCCAATCTCCAATGTGTAAATCCGGAATGCTTTCAGTCTCCTATGTATAATTCCGGTATGTTTCCAGTCTCCTATGTTTAATTCCGGTATGTTTCCAGACTCCTAAGTATAATTCCTGTATCTTTCCAGTCTCCTATGCATAATTCCTGTAGGAGTCGTGACTCCTATGTATAATTACTGTATGTTTCCAGTCCCCTAGGTATAATTCTTGTATGTCTCCAGACTCCTATATATAATTCCTGTATGTCTCCAGTCTCCTATGTAGATTTCCTGTTTGTTTCCAGTCTCCTATCTATAGTTCCTGTATGTTTCCAGACTCCTAAGTATAATTCCTGTATTTTTCCTGTCTCCTTTGTACAATTTTTGTATGTCTCCAGCCTCCTATGTATAGTTCCTGAATGTTTCCAGTCTCCAATGTGTAAACCCGGAATGCTTTCAGTCTCCTATGTATTATTCCGGTATGTTTCCAGTTTCCTATGTATAATTCTTGAATGTTTCTAGTCTCATATGTATACATGTAATTTTCGGTATGTTTCCAGTTTCCTATGTATAATTACTGTATGTTTCCAGTCGCCTATGTATAATTCCGGTTTGTTTCCAGTTTCCTATGTATAATTCCGGTATGATTCCAGTCTCCTATGGATAATTCCTGTATGTTCCCAGTCTCCTATGTATAGTTCCTGAATGTTTCCAGACTCCTACGTATAATTCATGTATGTTGCCAGTGTCCTATGTTTAATTTCCGGTATGTTTCCAGACTCCTAAGTATAATTCCTGTATGTGTCCAGTCTCCTATGTTTAATTCCGGTATGTTTCCAGTCACCTATGTATAATTCCTGCATGTTTCCAGTCTCCTATGGATAATTCCTGTATGTGTCCAGTCTCCTATGTTTAATTCCGGTATGTTTCCAGCCTCATATGTATAATTCCGGTTTGTTTCCAGTCTCCTATGCATAATTCCTGTATGTGTCCAGTCTCCTATGTTTAATTCCGGTATGTTTCCAGACTCCTATCTATAATTCATGTATGTTGCCAGTGTCCTATGTATAATTCATGTATGTTGCCAGGGTCCTATGTATAATTCCTGTACGTTTCCAGTCTCCTATCTATAGTTCCTGTATGTTTACAGTCTCCTTTGTATAGTTCCTGTATGTTTACAGTCCCCTAGGTATAATTCTTGTATGTCTCCAGACTCCTATATATAATTCCTGTATGTTCCCAGTCTCCTATGTATTATTCCGGTATGTTTCCAGACTTCTATGTATAATTCCTGCATGTTTCCAGTCTCCTATGTATAGTTCCTGTATGTTTCCAGTCTCCTTTGTATAATTTTTGTATGTCTCCAGACTCCTATGTATAATTCCTGTATGTTTCCAGTCTCCTATGTATAATTCCTGTATGTTTCCAGTCTCCTATGTATAATTCCTGTATCTTTCCAGTCTCCTATGCATAATTCCTGTATGGTTCCAGTCGCCTATGTATAATTCCTGAATGTTTCCAGTCTCCTATGTATAATTCCTGTATGTTTCCAGTCTCCTATGTATAATCCCGATATGTTTCCAGTCTCCTATGTATATTTCCTGTTTGTTTCCAGTCTCCTATGTATAATTCCTGTATGTATTTTAGTTTTATGTGTAATCAATCAAGACAGGATCTTGTCTTGTATTTATCCAGTTCTTGACCAATAAGAGGGAGGACAGTCGGGATTTCCATGTCAACAGCAGCAACAACAACAACAACAACAACAGAAATACACATCCATTGTCAGTTGCGCTCCCTGGCATGAACCCCGTACTCTACATGCACTGTATCAGATAAGATGACATTTTCTTATTTGACACATGCAAAACACGTACATAAAAATATGCGTTTATGTTCACGTAACATCACGACAACATTTGTCAGCTTCATTAAAATGTTTCTCAATTTTAAAGAATAATACTATTCTACCGTATTAAAATTCAAAGTTTTTCTTCTGTATGTTATCATAGAATGATTCAATTAAATCAGTATTGGTATACTTTAAGAAAAATTTCAACTACTTCGAGAATAAATCATATGACAAAATTGCGTGAATTTGACGTGAAACTGATAGCAATAGGAACGACTCAGCCTTGATTGGTCAGAATCTGATGCAAAAGGACATGGATGTTAGTTTAACATCTCGGTGAAGGTTACAAATAAAGATTTCTATAGACAGTAATGATAGACTGACGTCTTGCTATGATCTGGGTATATCAACTGAGATGTAAGTCAAGCAACGGTGATTAGATACAATGTATTATTCTGACAGAATTTTGACGAGAAGGTGGGGAGAGTGTGTGTGTGTGGGGGGGGGGGGGGGGGGGGGGGGGGGGGAGTGGTCGTTGATAAGGCAAGGAGAGACGTCAAAAGACAGGACGGCGGTAGGAGGCGAGTGTTTGCGAGAAAACAAGTCAGTTAAATTATTTGCCGTTACAGCAAATAACTATATCATAATATGATTTATGTTTTTTTACCTCAAATAAAATATAAATTAAAAAAATAAATTAAAATACATGTGAATATTGACTATACCTGTCCGGTATTTGTGAAAGCTAAACAAGTGTAATTGTTTAGCTATGACAATCTAGTTCCTTTCTTAGATTTGTCTTTGATGTACGGTTCTAGGAACTATACACATAGCTAAATTCTACTGTCGAAGCCTGCTTTGGTTTGCTTTTTATTTAACAAATAAATATAGCTCAATGGTTGTATTAAATTTGGGTTTCCCCGCCACCACCCTATCACTTTTATACAACTTCAAGCCGGGATATGAAATGAACATGCAATATTAAGCCATTTCTTGTGATTTCCCCTCGCTGTGGTAGATGATAGGAACCTGCTTGCGACTAGTATGCATCTAGTCGCAGTTTTTGAGCTAGGAGTTCTATAAGCTTAAACCTTACAGTAGCAAATCAATATATATATATTTTGGTAATTTAATCGAACGTTTATTTAGAAATGAAGTATACACGCTTTAAAATCATAATAGATATTTGAGATCTTCATATTTTTCATCTACTACTAACTACTATTGTTTCCTGGGGTGGCGGGACATATCAAAGTCTTATAAAAATAGTGGTCGATACATCCTGCTTAACGTTCATCATGTAGGGCAATGGCAACAACTGGTTCCTCCGTTGTCAGTATAATGTAACCGGGCAGCACGCTGTGCTGGGTGCATTCAGCATGTCATTTCAGTGAGGTAGCATTCTAAAGTCGACATCAGATCCGCGCTGTCGCAAGGAGGCAAATACACCAACACACCCTGTCTCCTGCACACATACACGCGTCGCGTATACTTTATTCACATGGAGGCACGTCATTGCATAAAATAGCATTTTGTTTTCTGTTAAAAGGACGTTAAACACCCTATAAGACTAATAAAAATTTTGAGCAATATGATTAACCTCAATATAATGCCCTCCGTACGATTTTCAGCTTGCTAATTACAAAAGTAGTTAAAAGTCTTCCAGTTTACTCAACATCTCCTTTTCTACATTTCTTCGATATATCGCCAAACCCTTCAAAATGCTAAAGTTTGGCTTGGTATATATAGTGGTTGTATATCGAGGTTTTACGGTATAAACCTCTGTCAAAATAACACTGTTGCAACACTTAGAGACAGAAATATCACCCAAAAACCGAAGTGTTTTAGTTGCATTGTCATGGCAGTATTATCGATATGTGTATTTTTGTAATACTTTTGTCGTTTATTCCCAGGAAAGAGTTCTATCATAGATAAACCAAAGAGTAATTAATTTGTTTCTAATTAAACGCTTGGGAAGTTCTGTGCTCCGATATATATCCGATCAATATATAAATGTTTAGATATTATTGCAAGGTACAAAAAAATGTACCGCATCCCTCTAATACGTGTCTGTAGTCGGTTTGTGTTGGGGGATCGGGGTTACTTCCCTGTGACCTGACAGATTCATATAATTATCATACTCTCCCGTCTCTGCATCATATCGGCAATGGCTATACATTGATTTTTCGAGATAATTGTCAGGCTAATTATTCCGTTCCAAACCAGTAACCGTTCTGCTTGGTTGATTGGTTGATGGGTTGATTGGTCGGGTGGTTGAGGTTTAAGGAACTTCCTGCATTGTGAACGTCGACTTTCAGGATTGGTTGTAAACACTATGTTGTACAAGTAGTTTTGTTCGGACCAAATATCCGGTGCATACTCATTGGCAGTTACACGAGGATCCTTTAGAACTAGGTGTTTAAGGTAGTGGAAGGCATAAAACATGTTGTGGCGATAGAAAAACGTGTATCCCTGTAGTTGTTTGGGTTGCAAAAGACTCTTAAACTGTATCGACCCCACACAATACCTCTTCGGGGTGCATTCTGTCTTAAAGATCCACATTCCACTTTGTTTTATCATCAAGACCTGTGTTTTGTGTGTTCCGTGTTTACGTCTGCGTTGCGTACTCAACTTTAGTTTCGCATACTCTTTTAATTAAAACATGTTGCTAATATGATCTTTTAAGGACTGACATATGACTCAAATCTTACCAGGGTCCTGTCAACATTTTCAAAATACGAAAACTACGCATTTAAAGTCTTTCCTGTTTTTATTTCTGCATTTCACCGACTTTTCTCCTGTTACAAACATTTCAACGTCATTTTTTTTTTAAATATAACTATCTCATATACATTTATTGTTTAGTGTTACGAAAGAAGACCTTCAATTATGTGTCATTGATAAACAAAGGGTGGCTTTTGACGTTAAGGATTTAAGCACCTTCTCATTACCTAATTTTACTGTTTCATTTGATAAGGGGAAGACTATTTAAATTGATTGGCAATTCGCCCCCAGCTTGTAGCGATAAGGCATCGGCCATATATATAAAATGTGAAGTCTGCTTACAATGTGAGTGGTAATAAATTATAAATGTAATCGACAGTAACCCTGGGTAGAAACAAGAACAAGCATGCTACGTTCCGGTGACACGGGTACAGGGCTGATACGCGGATGAGAGAAGTAACAGAATAACTTGTGGTACCGATTAGTCCCAAGCATCCAGGAATATTGTGTTTCTTATCTAATAACGCAGCATCACCCGTCAACTCTGTCATGGTGAGTATGTCGTATTTCTAATTTCTAGATTGATTGAAATTGATTAGGGAAACATATTTCTTTACAGAAACTGATAACCGAAATAAACAGTGTTTGTGTTATTTATAGATTTTTTTTAACGATGTTAATCGATTTCACGTGACATCCGGGTTGTATATCTAACGCTGTTGTTCATATCATATCTGACGCTTTACCTCTTTTATAACAACATAAATATATATACATTTGTAAATATTGCCTTTATATATGATATTTTTTAACGGATCTGCCTGAAATCTCTAGTAGGAGAGTGCTTAGTACAAGATACGTATACACGTCACAGGTATAGGTAGCCTGGCTGACAGGCAGATACTCGTCAACTAATTTGTATTCATTCTGTCATGTGAGACGACCGTACTGAGCAATTACAATGTATGTATGCATGTTCTCGCCCTAACTAAATTCCGTGTAAAAACTTATCTTCACAAACTCCATGATTTCTGTAAGAATAATTATTATATTCCATGTCAACAAAGTGTTTAACATGCATGTATTCCTATCTAGCTTGTGGACAGGTAACGTCGTGGCACAGTCATTTAGAGGCTTTACCGTAATAATTGGCTTTTAAACGAGTTTTACTAGCAACTCTATATACCGTCGCAGTTTAGGTTGTTTACTTTTTCTCCAAGATGAATTTTAGTCGCAGATTCTTAAAATAGAAACGGTGTTTTCCATAAAAGGGACAGCTTAGTGACGCCATAATCAACAATATCACTCCACCTGACAGAGTAAAATAATAGAATATCAATAGATTTAAACAGGTTTGCTTTTTTTATTTAGAAATATATTTTGTTGAGAAATATATACAATATATGTTCATGCATAAACATGAATCAGAGCAAGAAAACTCAATGTAGACTAATTAGTTAAAACCTTAGAATGGATATGACTGTGCAGTATAAGGTACATTTTTCAGAATAAGCAATTCGAATTATACAATAGCATTCTAGTGACAGATATTGCACATACACACAGGACCCTCCAAGTTGTTATTCATTCTTATAAAGCTTTTGAAATATATTAGTCTGTTTGAATTAATTTGGTAAGGTCTTCAAACGAAAATTGCACCCTCATATTTTGAAGTTTTAAATCGTACCAGTTTGTGTTTGTTAAAGTTTTTGTTGCCGTAGTATTTTAATGAGGTGATGCATGAATGAGGGAGATATGTGATTCACAATTTTGTACACTTCATAATACACGTTCCACACACACACACATTGTATGTCCTGTGAAAAACCACGCAAATACAACTTAGTGCTCTTTATTGAATTTTCTCTATTGCTCTAATGTTTTCCATGTTTTTGAAGAGCCGCACAAGGCGATAGATGTCGAACTCTAGACTATAAAACACTAGGCCAGTACTCTAACGATTAGGTAAAACCGATAAAACTACCAGATACCTCGCCATTTAGATCGTAGAACAATCCAAAATGACTCTTAGATACTATACAGAGTTTAGCCGAAAATGATTTAACCTCTCAGTACACCACGGCTGCTACTAAATTCTTATCCCTTCAATTCCCTCTAGTCACTTAATCATTGTCCACAATCCTGCATTGCTGGGAATTTTAAGAACCGGCTTTCTCTGAAATATTTTAATCGGTATAGTGTACGACCATTTAAAAGTACTGATATCCTAAAAAAAGAATGGTTCTTGTATTCATCTTACAGCTGGATGATTAACTATTTTCTAAAGTCTTTTGCTGCTATTGTTGGATCATTATAAACAGACACATCACCATTAGATTTAACGAATCGTGTATAGACTAAATGTTTGGGGCATGTTCCGTCATAATATTACATCGAACCGTTATTCATGTATCTGAACATACCGTCTGAGGCATTCATCAGGATGTGAAACATTTTGGATAAACGGAACACGGAATGGTATTGTACCAGCCGGGTCGTGAAGTCAACTAGTCACATGGCCTAACGGTTATTGTTTAGGGGTATTGATCTGGTATATGTGCCTATATATATACAGATAAGAGCTGTGAGAGTGTCGGTCTCGCGCCGGGAAGCAGACGACTATCGGAAGACAGGCGCGTTCCGTTACGCCTGTTTGGCGGCAACGCGCGGGAATTCATCCCTTTAATCATGTTTCAAAAATGTGTATTGATTAAAGTATCTTTCATGTTGTCCGATATTTCGCTAGGCCAGTGTTACACAAAGCTAGTTACAAGTCTATAACACATTTCCAAATAGCAGGTGTAAGATTTTGTTCGGTACAATACTTCTGTGTGCTTGACATTTTTTATGAATTTCTTTCCCGATTCCGTTTCCTTATACGTCCACAGACGTTTGAAATTATAGTTCTTCTATTTATTGATCTACTTATTTTATTATTAGAGTTTTTCCATAGATGCCTTGATCTAGATAACCCAACGCTAAAACATGACTGTGTGGAGTGCCATGCTAGTGTGCCCAGGCTACAATGTGTTCAAGTAGAGGTGGAACTTTACATCGGTCCTGGAGTAGTCATAGCGTATGTGGATACCGTCATCACATGCATTTAAAATGTGCAAGGACGCAAACTCCTAAACAAAGCGTGTTGTTAAAACAGTCTTTCTGATTGTGTAGTATTCCCAAGTTTGGCAAATAACCTCAACGTGTAGTGCTATGTTTGATGAAAACAAAATATCGTTGGTATTAATAAACATGTGGATTTATTACAACAACAAACAGTCAGAAAGAAAACGATAAAACAACAAACTAAAGATTTTTGATTCTTGTTCTCTATTTCAGGCTGATCAACTAACCGGAGAACAGGTTGCTGGTAAGTTGATTCACTTCTTTTTCGTTAGCACAATTATCGTACTGCCACCTGCTCGACAGACCTACGCAATCGGCTTTCGTTTAGATGGATGTCATGGTCTGAAGGATAGACAATGGGTTGTCAGGATTGGGTCGATAGCAAGACTATCACTGATGCGTGCATTTATGACAGGTGGCTGATAGATAGACTATGGGAAACGATCAGAAAGTCGATCCGAACTGACAACAACATGAAATGAGGAGACACGAAAACAAAAGGAAAGAAACAACTGGAACCACGGAGACACCAGAACAAAAGGGAAAACAGCGCATGGAGCTGAGGAGACAAAATATTAAAAAAAAAAAAAAAAAAAAGAGAAATGACGCAAACAGAAACCAACTGACGAGACACCGAAACAAAAGGTCACCAACGATCTAAGACGTATTAAACAAGTCCTCAATAATGGAAATCACTGCCGTAGGATAGATGAAAATATAGTCTTGATGATCGTAAAATTTCGTCAGCGTAGATTTAAACTTCATCGTAAGAGAGCTTTGGTTAAATCCTTTAATTGGACGTAAATAGGAAGGAAACATCTCTCTAGAAAAGGTCAAAAGTAGTGAATCAACCAAGAGTTGAAAAAACACTACAGTTCCACAGTTGAAATTATATTACTACATGAGACATGCGTCTGCTTATCCTATGTTGAATATGTGGTAAGTTTCATTGAAAATGTTTGTAAGTGACTTTATAAGATACGTGACTACTTTATATGGGTGAACGCTTATTACGTCTGTACAAATCTATATTCTTTATGGATCTTAATAAGCAATAAGATGTGCTAAATTCAAACTTACAGAATTCAAAGAGGCGTTCAGCCTGTTCGACAAAGATGGCGACGGTACCATAACAACCAAAGAGTTGGGGACAGTGATGAGGTCATTGGGACAGAACCCGACAGAAGCTCAGTTGCAGGACATGATCAACGAGGTGGACGCGGACGGTATGTTCCATGTAAAATATTATTCTTTCATTAAAAATATTATGTTTCCTTGAGTTGATATGGAAATATCGAAATTTACGTCGGATACCGATTAAATCAACTTCGTCGGTCGTTAAAAGGCGAGAGTACCCGAAGTAGATCACGAAACCATAAACGTTATTCATTCGTGGAAGATTCAATAATATGCATTTATGGTAAAATCAAAGGAAGACTAGGAATAGGTTTTCTCACAACCAAAACGATGAACCGGGGCTTGCGTGAGAAATGTATAGAACAATTTGAGTCACCGATTAGCGGTTTTTGTTTTTCCAAATCGCAGTACTTAAAACGAATCAAGGCTAAACTTTTGCAATATCTGTCACCTTAAATGAACAAACATTGCTTTGATCTCAACATGTTATTATGATCTTTTGAACTTGTATGAATACATGTGCTCCTATCATCCAGGTTTATATTTATATTATCCGAAACAAAAGACATGCATCCTTTTTAACAACGTAACTGATTATGTTTTTTTTTAGTTCCGACGCTATCTATACTCGAATATTTATCATCCGTAGACAGGAACTCCAGGAATGTAGCAATGGCAAAGTTTAACAAACTACAGTATCACTTAAAATCCTGTTTGCCATAAATTAGAATATTATTTTAATTCAATGACATGGATGTTGTTTGTATCTGGTGGCATTAATATTATTTTAATTCAATGACTTGTGTATTGTTTTTATCTGGTGATACTGACCTTGTTTGTATCCGATGACTTGGATATTGTTTGTTTCTGGCGACATTGATATGGTTTGTATCCGATTGACTTGGATTTGATTTTATCTGTTGCGTTGATCTTGTTTGTATCTGATGACTTGGCTATTGTTTTTATCTGGTGCCATTGATCTTGTTTTTATTTGGTGATATTGATCTTTTTTGTATCCGATGACTTTGATATTATTTTTATCAGGTGACATTGATCTTTTTTGCATCCGATGACTTGGATATTTTTTTTACCTGTTGCGGTGATCATGTTTGTATCCTATGTCTTTGATATTGATTTTACCTGCTGACATTGCTATTGTTTGTATTCGATTGACAGGGATTTTGTTTTTATCTGGTGCGGTGATCTTGTTTGTATCCTATGTGTTGGATATTGTTTTTACCTGGTGCGGTGATCATGTTTGTATCCTTTGTCTTGGTTTTTATTATAACAGGTGACATTGATCTTGTTTGTTTCCGATTGACATGGATTTTGTTTATTTCTGGTGACATTGATATTGTTGGTATCCGATGAATTGGCTATTGTTTGTATTCGATGACATTGATCTTGTTTTTATCTTGTGCCATTGATCTTGTTTTTATCTGCTGACATTGGTATTATTTGTATCCGATGACTTAGATATTGTTTTTATGTTATGACATTGATATTGTTTATTTCTGGTGCCATTGATCTTGTTTGTATCTAGTGACATTGGTATTATTGTATCTAGCGACTTTGATATTGTTTTTATCTTGTGCCATTGATCTTGTTTTTATCTGCTGACATTGATATTGTTTGTATCCGATGACTTGGATATTGTTTGTATATGATTACATTGATATTGTTGGTATCCAATGAATTGGTTATTGATTTATCTGATTACATTTTGTATTGTTTGTATCCGATGACTTGGATATTGTTTTTATTTGGTGACATTGATGTTGTTTATTTCTGGTGACATTGATATTGTTTATTTCTGGTGACATTGATATTTGTTTATTTCTGGTGACATTGATATTGTTTATTTCTGGTGACATTGATGTTGTTTATTTCTGGTGACATTGATATTGTTTATTTCTGGTGACATTGATATTGTTTATTTCTGGTGACATTGATGTTGTTGGTATCCGACGACTTGGATGTTATTGTATTTAGTGACATTGGTGATTTTGTTTTTGTTGATTCCTGTTTTAAGCATATATATATCAATAATAAACTGGATATGTATGAATTTGAAATTAGTATTCTATTACCTAAAAGTCAAATTGAATTAATTTTTCTATCAATAGTCACAGTGTAAAGAGACAAGATTTTCACAATTTTTTTATTTTTTTTTGTCAGCGACTTGTGTGTAGTTTATTAACATATGTATGGCTCATCTGCGGTCTCTTTTGAAATCTGTCATTGCGTACACAATTATTATAGTAACATTTCTAGGAATCCAACATTTTTACAAATACAAACAATATAGCAACTATCCTAACTCAAATTTTCCAAGGTTACAAAATATCCCCACAAAATAAACAATGCATGCTTCCCCGTTTAGTACTTATAATATTTGCGCAGCGTTAGTTTTTCACACCTATGCAGAAGAATACATGCAGTTTTTTTATTAACATTTTGCATATTTATTTGTTTTTTCGATTTCAGTATTCATTTAATCTAGCAACTCAAAGATTACTATCAGGAATCGCGACCATTGTTTTCTCCCTGGATCTGTTATATAGCTATAAAATGGTTGTGATTTTGACTACTGTACAACGGTTATATTTCGCGGGACTTATAATTTCGCTATATTTTCCCTTTGACAAATATCCCCGAATTCTAAACACCAGCAAAATTATCGAAGATGTAAACCACTTTTACGGACCTTATCACAACATGTTAAAAATACTTATAATCCAATGCTGTTATGCAAGCTTAAATGAACTCAAATCGGATTATTGCCGGACAACTTGGCAGACCATGTAAAACATCACTTACATATAAGTGGCCATAACATATTTGATGATAGTTTACTCCTTCAAAGGGACATACATATTTTATTTTCATACGTATTTTCAGACGGGTTTTCGAGGTTTAACCCTTAAATGATTTAACTCAAAATACTTTGCACAACACATGGGATTCGGGTGCACAGCGAAATGTACTCCCCGCTAATATGTACTGAATACGAAACCGCGAAATATTGACCCCGCCAATTTAAAACGCTATTCAGTATGTGTATGAAATTTTGGTTTAATTTTAGGCAATGGCAACATCGACTTCCCAGAATTTCTGGTCATGATGGCGAAGAAGATGAAAGACACTGATACTGAAGAAGAGTTACGAGAAGCGTTTAAAGTATTCGACAAGGACGGAAATGGATTTATCAGTGCAGCCGAACTTAAACATGTGATGACAAATTTAGGAGAAAAATTAACAGAAGAAGAAGTGGATGAAATGATTCGAGAAGCGGATACGGACGGTGACAAACAAGTAAATTATGAAGGTAAGTTAAAGGATCACATTTCTTCTTATGTTAGAAGGTGTTTCATGTACATAAGGCATCATTTAATTATGGCCTGTGGTATTGTTTTGTTTTGTTTTTTGGAAAAGGGAGGGAAGTGACCTCATCGCTCACTTTCTTGCCTTCTATTAATATAACTGCAATATAATATATATTTCTGTATAATTGTGTGAACATTCGTGTAATTATCATCTCCAATATCTATTTCTGTATAGCATATTATTTTTTCTGTGTACATTATGCTGTAGAAAATTTCCGCATAATTACCATTCCTGTTAAAATAAAGTTAATAATAATAACCGTGATAATTCCGGTTAATATCACACTATATGTCTACGTGTATAATTGCAATATACTCGGTCAATCTAATCACACATTATTTTATTCTTTTACAGAATTCGTGGAGATGATGAAAAATAAATAAGTAAAAAGTATTTCTGTCTACCGCTTATTCCAGCCATTATTCCTCTACTCATTGTCGTCGTCTTCCTCAACTACCCTTGGAAACCCTGTGGACAAAAGGTGTCTTCTTCTGGATATAAGCCCTTAGTGCTGTAATAGTATACAAGTCTTCCTAGTAAACGAAACATCACCTTTATTTTGCGATATAAATAGATTCACATAAATTAATTTGGAGAATACATCAGGAAAGAAAAAAGCATAACTGTTTATAACATTATTAAGTGAATTGAAATCCTATCGAATATTTATTCATCAGTATTTATTTACCTGTGACGGTTTAATCTTGTCCCTTTCATTTCGTTTCTAGTTTTCTGATTAAGCACATTGGCGCACAATGGGTTAAATCAGAAATCATGGAAAGTACGTTATTTGAAGAACATCGTACCATAAAAAATGTCAATGACGCTAAATTAGATCAAGATCGTTTGAGACGGAATACAGATACAGCTACCACAGTTGGGATTGCTTCGGCCTCCTTACCGGAATGTTCGTATAGCACTAGTACAAATAGTAGCTCGCCAATAACGTTGTGTTTTTGCATTATATTCTTCACTCTATTTGTTCTAGTCTACCCAGAATGAGAAGTTGTCTGATAGGATGCAAGCATGTGAAAGACAAAGTCCATTCATTGTAACGTCACCTATTTTTAAATCAATATATGTTCATGTCACAGAAAACTAGGTTAAGCTCTGACTAAACACTAGACAACACTGCAGAATACGTAATTAGGAAACCATGTCGGCTCCGTTTGACTCAATGTGTTTATGTTGTATTCATGTATATCAGATTTCTCATGTTGTTACAGTAATGCTATAAGCGGTTTGTTTTTTAATCCTTCTTTATATTTTTAATCAGGTATAATGACTTATTTTGAAAAGAAAATATACGAAATTAACTAGATGTATTGAACATGCACTTAATACTCACCATTTCATTTTTTTTTTTTTTAAATATCTACAATTTTATTTTTTCTAAGAGTTTGTTGACATTAACGACGTCATTTAAAAATCAATGTAGAGTTCGCTTTTAGGGGAGGGGCTGTGTTGTTTGGATCAGTTATTTAAGTGACTAATGGCTACACGAGACCTGAGTGGAAGCTAAATGCCGATACATTGAATTACTGTTTGTCTTTAATAAACGTCTTACCAACAAAGCTGTTCTATATGATCCATGACATTAAAATGTCTTGAATCTGAAACGTTGTAAATTCAAGCAAGGTAGATTATATTGGAACTATTTATCTCCCATTACATCATCGCTAACTTTGACTTCTGTATACGAGACGATGTGTTCATTGTTTTATATTGCATGGAAACCAATTAATTTAAAACACTGAACTTTGAACTCTGCGTCTCTGTGTGGTGAAATTATTGACAAAAACGCATATGAGACATTTAAGATCATTTGAAAGGCAACTCAATTATGTACAAAATTCAATCAGCATTTGTCGTCGAAAATAAAACAGTGAATATTTATTAATCTTTTCTTTTACCTACCATGATAAATATGTAACAATTTTGATAATTCGGAAAATGTCGTCAGCGAAAACCATTCGAGCCTATTTCCATGCATTGTCACGTGTCTATTGGCGTGGTTAATTGGCGGTCGTCATGTTGATTTAAACTCCTAAGCGACCCGCCGAACATGGTCTAGTACAAATCCAATGACCTAGCAGACACCACAAGGAACGAATCAAGAACGAGAAACTGACAATTGTCTTCATGAAACCTTTTGGGCAGACTCTCCTTAAATGCAATATAGTGGCGAGAGGAATTGAGGACGTGTAACATTAGTTGTATAAATGTTGTTTGCGAAGCGGCCGGTAATTTTTTTCACTGACCGAGATCGCTTATTTCTTGGCTCTGTTGTTGGTGCATTAAGATACAATTCTTATTTTGGAAGTATTTTTATCAAAAAGTCATAGATTATAGAAAAGAAATGTGTGTTTTGATATCTTAAGTTATGCCAATGGGTCATTACACATGTACATTGCAGTTCTAACAATTATACCTAACATATTTGGAAAATAAATTATTAGGCCTTCGTAGACGGATTGTAAGTCTGCTGATAACAATTTAGGAAATCAAAAATCTAATCTTTATCAAAGCCAACGACTTGCATTTTAATAAATTTGAAATGATGATATCCTGTCACATTGATACATGTATACATATTTATATATATATGTAGTAAGAATTGGCCATGTTATTGTTTTTACTTTCAATATTAGCGATATCCCGTACGCGACGTAAGTGAGTAAATAGAAGTAATTACTTCATCTTATTTGAATAAGAGGTTTATAATTGATCCAATAAACAACAAAAAAAACGTTCTTCGGTACGGTGAGTGATAAATTTCTTTTCATTTAAGTTAAATCCTTGTAGATTTTATGGTCTGTTCGTTGTCTTGGTGTGGATAATTAATATATCTATTAATGCATAGCCAATATAGAAAACAACTAAAAACTCAAATACGGTGTGAGAAGAATTAACCGATGATCACCAACAAAAATTGGAAAAAACATCTTAATTGAGTAACAACAGAAATCCAAAGGTGAAAATAGAAGAACCGGATGTGAAAACATGTCTCGTCACCACATGTGGTGGTCTTCTTTATCTACTACATGTGTCATCCGTCATGTTGTCTCACGCCATCACATGTGGTACATTGTACCTGTCAGTGTGTCTCTTTACAAATATTCGCTACATATATGAATAAAAGAAGCCAAACATAGAAATCATTTTTTTTATCAAACGGCAGTTGAAGTTTAAAAAAAAATCAAAAATAATCCGAATCATTTTTTTTTTAAACATAGGTAAAAGAAATAAAAGAGAGTTTTATGCCTTTTACAACCAATATAACGTTACAAAAGCACAAATTCCGGACACAGCAGTTAATTCATTTGAATAAATGTTTCATACAAAGATAAGATTTATGACCGACTGCGGCACTGATAGTTCTACTAGCAGAGCCAACTTCCTCGGGAGGTAAAATTCTCTCTAGAAATGCGTACTAAAGATAACACATGAAAGTTCAAACGTGTTACTATCATGGAAATAGTTATGGCAAATTTTAGAAATTGATCACATTTGAAACCATTTCGGGTCTGCGTTCCTATCTATTAGAATATTTTTTTATCAATTTCAAATATTATTTGGTTCATGCCATATCAAGATCAATTCTGACTATAACACGCTTACGGCGATTGCTCACGCGAGGAGTCTATCGATCCCACAGACTCCAATGAATGGAGATGTAGTAGAAACGATATATTTTTCAGGCACTGCGTATGCCTTGCATTTTGCAACATGCACGAAGATATCATTCCAAATCTACAAAACTGCATCTGCAAGGCAATTATTGTGATTAGTTAAAAACCTGATTGCATTTAACTCTTATTTTCAAATTTGGTTTTGTACCTTAATTAACTTCCATTTATAACAGATGTCACAAAAAAAATGTAAATTTTCTGGTTTTAGCCATATGGGTGTTTTGTTCGGTTACAATCAATTCAGCTTCTCTGAAAGGCAAACTCTTGGTAAATAAGAATGATATAAAACAGTGCTGGTTATATCTGGTAATGGGGAAGGTTAACGATGCCGATGGCAGTGCTGTAGAATGAATTTATTGCGGAAAATATTGTCTTCGAAACTAACAGAACAATCTAAAATGATAAATGTGCGTGATATATAACAGAACGATGGTTATGAATCTTTAGGTTTTGAAACTTTGATTAACGATGATCTACAGACAATATTTAATGATTGATTGATATAGTTTTCGTTTGAATTTGATTGTTTTGATGGATCAGCTACAAAACTGGTTAACAATTCTTCGATATCTTTTGTATTCGGTACATTTGATAAACACTTGGCTGGAATCCCGAGCCTGCATGTTTGGTGAACGTATCGTTTCTGATCTTTCTTATCTGAATGTGTGCATTAGTTTCATTAACTGCTGTGCTGAACATATTTATTCCATTAGGCATATTAGTATTTTTGTTTACGTAAAACATCGCTGATTTCAACGGCATGTCGATTGACAAAAAAAACACCTTTTCAAATCGTATATACACGTTTTAAGCCCACAATCACCAGTCACTGATTTAAACACGTTCTCTGATAATGAAACGTCAATTAAAAGCTTATATGGACGGAACAGTACTCTAAATTGAAAGATTGCGTCATAAGTGCAGCAATCGAAGGTTATTTGAAGCTCAAGTTGACAAATAAGGCCAGACATCATCAGCAAAATCACGAGACAGGTTGTACTTGCTGCACGTCTCTTAAACCAATAATTGCAGTCGATGGGTTTATATAGCAAGGATGGCACATCATTACTTAGATGTTCGATACATTTCTTCGTTTATTTGTCGAACTTGTAAATTCAAAATTGACTTATAAGCCAAAATGCTTGCATATCCTTTTTAAGTTTTATGAATAATTCAACAGCCATTTGGTGCGAAGTCGGCGTCGAATATACCTTGTTAGGGTGATTTAAATAGCGACGTACAAAATGATCCACGATGCATTATTTATTATAAAAGAAATTCGAAGTACACATACATGGACTAAACATACAATAAATGAACAATGCTATGTTACGATACACCGTTTTAGCATACAATTTTCTGGAATACAGATCGTTCGACAAAAAAAAAACCACTAATGAACATGAAAACTACCAAAAGTATACCACTTTAAACATCATCGTAAAACAGCATACTCGATGTTTTATCTCAAAGGAGGGGAAAGTTTAGTAATTTGGAATAAAGATTAAATATGTAGTTGTTGTATGTTTATATATATACCTGAAGAACCCCTTTAAACTGATAACCTGAAGAGCCCTGTGAGGGGTGAAAGCAGCTATTCTTTTAGTCGGTCGTTAATCTTAATTTTTCTATATATATACATATATATATATATATTTAAATCTCGAGTAAAAACTATTCAATATGAACTATTTACAACGAATCGATTCCTTAACACAGCAGAAAGCAATAGAATGCCTATATTTTGGAAATTCTTTAAGATCACAATTAGTGGAAGATATTCAGACAAGAAACATGAAAGACTTAAGAATGTATGCTAAAAAAATTCAACCAGCATAAATATTAAAGGAATACTTTGTCTATTCCTTTTAGATATATCATTTATCAGCTTTTACCAGAACTGCTTTTGAAAAAAATCGTATTAAGTCACAGTTCATTTCTATGTTAGGTTGGTGGTTCTTCTCTTACATTGTACAATATAAGTTTATATACGTGATGTCTGTGTCTGGTTCATGGTTCTTAGCATAATATATAAGCTTTTGCTGTTGACGTTGTTATCAAGACAAAGTAAGTAGTTCTCAACATACAATATCAGCCTAAATGAGGGATATCTTTGTTAGGTCGTGGTTCTTAGCTTAAAATATCAGTTTAAAGTGATTATGTCTTTGTTAGGTCGTGGTTCTTAGCTTAAAATATCAGTTTAAAGTGATTATGTCTTTGTTAGGTCGTGGTTCTTAGCTTAAAATATCAGTTTAAAGTAGTGATGTCCTTGTTAGTTCATGGTTCTTAGCTTAGAATATCAGTTTAAAGTTGTAATGTCTTTGTTAGGTCGTGGTTCCTAGCTTAGAATAGGTTCTTACCTTAGAATATCAGTTTAAAGAAGTGAAGTCTTGGTTAGGTCGTGGATCTTTGCTTTAAATATCAGTTTAAAGTAGTGAAGTCTTGGGTAGGTCGTGGTTCTTAGGGGGGATTATAAGTTTAAAGTGATGATGTCTTTGTTAGGTCATGGTTCTTACCTTAGAATATCAGTTTAAAGTAGTGAAGTCTTGGGTAGGTCGTGGTTCTTAGGGGGGATTATAAGTTTAAAGTGATGATGTCTTTGTTAGGTCGTGGTTCCTAGCTTAAAATATCAGTTTAAAGTGGTGATGTCTTTGTTAGTTCATGGTTGTTAGCTTAAAATATCAGTTTAAAGTGATTATGTCTTTGTTAGGTCGTGGTTCTTAGCTTAGAATATCAGTTTAAAGTAGTGAAGTCTTGGTTAGGTCGTGGTTCTTAGCTTACATTATAAGTTTAAAGTGATGATGTCTTTGTTAGGTCATGGTTCTTACCTTAGAATATCAGTTTAAAGTAGTGAAGTCTTGGTTACATTGTAGGTCGTGGTTCTTAGCTTAGAATATCAGTTTAAAGTGGTGATGTCTTTGTTAGGTCGTGGTTCTTAGCTTAGAATATCAGTTTAAGGTGGTGATGTCTTTGTTAGGTCGTGGTTCTAAGCTAAAATTATCAGTTCAAAGTGGTTATCTCTTTGTTAGGTCGTGGTTCTTAGCTGAAAATATCAGTTTAAAGTAGTGATGATTTTGTTAGGTCGTGGTTCTAAGCTAAAATTATCAGTTCAAAGTGGTGATGACTTTGTAAGGTCGTAGTTCTTAGCTTAAAATATCAGTTTAAAGTGGTGATGTCTTTGTTAGGACGTGGTTCTTAGCTGAA